AAGGTGATAACGTCCCAAAAGGTGCTAAAAAGGTGAAATAAAATTCTCTTAAAATACCCCCAAAGGGGTATATCGTGTGCTCCCAAACTTTCATGAGGTTCTCCGCTTTCGGGAGAAAAAGTTATTTAACTTCAAATCAATGCTTTAACTATGACAATAATCAATAAATGTATAATTATTAGTTTAATTATCTTGTGAGGTTTATTTGCTTATAGCGTAAAATAATGTTGATAAATTTTAATCCATAACGTATAATAATTCAAGCAAATTATAAATGCTCAGGGTTAGGCTTGCCAACTCGTACAGGTCTACCTTAATTGTCAAGGAAAGGGGGGGTTTTGTCAAGGTGTAAGGCGAGGGTCTTTCCTTGACATTACAATGTCAAGGAATGTAAAAATCAAAAGTTGTGCCCTTTTTGGTATTTTATGCAAACATTTTATGTAACTTTACAGTGCATTGTTTTGGTAATAAACAAAATATGAGAATGTTAAGCTTTATAAAGTAAACACATTTTCAAAATAAAGGTATTTAAAACAATTAATTTTTTTGGTAGAAAAGAGGACAAATATTAAATAATATATTTATGTAAATTTTATCGAAAACCAGAAAACTCCTGTTAAAATCTGCAATAAAAATGTTGGTCAAGGAAATGTCAAGGCGAATTCTTGACATTTTTGAAATTTTCAAGGAATGTGACAGATTGAGTTGGCAAGCCTACTCAGGGTATTAGCGAAAGGTGGGAGTGGCAGAATTAATATATAAACTGTTCACAATTAATTGCAGTTTAAATATATAAATGTCAAATTATGTGAACAACGGAGACGATTATAACATTTAAATGTCAACACTTGTATAATGATTGTAATAATCGGTAAAAACTATTGGAAACACTGATTAAATAAAATTAATTTCATATAATATATAGACTGACCAGATGTCCAAAAATGGCTTGGATTGTCCCGGAATTAGATGGCCTGCTCAGAATTGAAAAAATATTTTAAACATTAAGTTTATGAAAGCGTCCAGGATAATATAGATAAATTAGTAAAATGTCTAGGATTATAGGGTTAATTCTTACCCAAAATCCAGGATTGTCATGAACTCATCTGGTCAGTTTAATAATATATGATAAATAAACTTATATTAATGTTTCATTATATTAATGTCATACAGTCGTAATCATATTGCAGTATGTACTGCATTGTATACTATACTTATGTTTACCTGTATGTAGTTATAACCAGTCTTAACTGCATGTATGTTAAACAACGACCCTATGATTGGTTAGTCCTTAGCTCTCAGAAATGTTATACAACTCCTACTCCTCATAAGTCTTTAAATAGGCTGTGTTTTCCAACTCTCGGGGCTTTTTGTCGCTTAACTCTCTTACTGTACGTAAGAGAGGTTACTATACACCCTTCATAAGCCTTACATTATAACATGTAATACTAATATACTTTTGTGTTTTTTATATTAAAGACTTTACTTTTTAAACCGTGTATTTAATGCTAACCCTTTTTTAAATAATAATAATAACTAATAACGACAGCAACCTGTGACAGTCAACCGGACACAGCGGTCACAGAGTGGGTACAGACCTAGAGACATGAGCAAACTACCTAAGGCTCAGCCGACGGATGACAGCGCATCAGAGGTGAGACACAGGTAACGCCCGCTCTAACGCACTCGACTGACGCCGGGAGTTGACGGTCACAGCTAATGACCAACTAATCGGCATTCATGTTGCAATATTATAATTCCAACGATTTTTACTCACATTCTTAAACTAAGTTGGAAAGGATGCCAACATCAAAACAAAAATTGATCAATGTTGCTTTGAATGTAGTTTTGCCATTTTAATATAACCAAAAATACATAAAAATGCTAACGTTGGTAATAATCAGTGAAATGATTTATGTAGATAAATGTGAAGGTACTTACTTTTTAAGAATATATTTTATTAACATAAACGTAAAGGTAATTTATTACACATTTAGCATGCATTTCACGCTTTATCATTTACTTTATATAAATTAGATTTACTATTTATCTGCATTTAATTATTAATATACGCTAAATATTAAATACCAATTGAAATCATTTATTTATTTCGTTACAGACTTGTCATGTATTTATAAAAAACATTTACCGGTAGAACATAATTAAATTCAATTTTTTGTTTTAATATATTTAACGAAATATGCATTACATGTTAACTACCTGATTACTAATTAATTAAGTAAATAATATACACATTAGTATTGTCTGTATTTTTAATTATTATTTATACATATTATTAATCAAAACAATTGAAAACCCCATCGGTTTTGTGGGTACAAAATTGGGACACATTTTGTCAATCAGTTTTAGTTTTCATAAACACCTATAACTATACAAACTATTTATATAACATATAAATTAATTATACATTTAATTATTTATATAATTATATATTTATTAATTAAATATAAAGGGAATGTTTGTAACTATAATTAAAAGTAATTTGTATTTTATATATGAGAACAGAAATTGGGTATAATCTTTGCAAAAATAACTACTTTTTTGATTAAAAAAACAAAATAATTATTAAATAATTAAAACAATAATATAATAATTGTGTTAAGAATTAGATTTACATTTTAAATATTGTATTAAAACAAATGTTATTATAATTTAGGGATAAAATCTGAGACCAAATAACATGTGAGCAGAAAATTCCGGTAATATTTTCAGCTAATTATAAATCAAATAATAATTATAATTAAGATTTCAATTAAAAATGTTTTTTCTACAAAAAAAACCTCAAAACAAAACTCATCTCAAACTCTCAGACGGTTTGAAATTCACAAAAAAATGTTATCAAAAAAATCTTATCATAATTTACCAAAAAATACAGTAATAATAATATTAATAATAATTAATAATTATAATAATAGTTATCTAATGAGAGACTAATCGTATGTTTTTTTTAAATATAATGACAACTGTTTTCAAAACACAATTATCACTGCATTTTCCGATTAGATGGCGATCGCCGTAAGCCCTCTGCGCCCAACGGGTGGGCCGTAGTAGTCATGCCTGGAGATCGGGTACCGGTGCTCGTGGTGTTCGCACTCGTAGTCCGGTTCCCACCGCCCGACCCGTTAATTTGCATACGATTTTCCACAGCGTTTGCCATTATCTTGAAAAAGAAATCCATTACCTATTCATACAATACAATTATGTAATTAATTAATACAATAATTTAATACATAATAAACTTGGTTAAAGTGAACAGCAATAGTGTAGCAAACAATAGGATAAATAACATAATTTAGGCGTTAATTAACGGCTAATTAAAACAATTAATTTGCATTATAATTAATTCCTATTACAAACACTTGTTGTTAAACAAACATCTCATTACTACTTCACTATAAGCGAGAAATACTGTACTAAACGCTAAAAACTATTTAAAAAACATTAATACACTATAACGGTTATAGTATAACCCTATGTTTGCATACACTATAACCCAGTACTCAAACACAAGACAATTGATCCATCAGGTGATGGACAATAGGCAACTCACGTGACGCCATATGATCTCGGAGTAGAAGTCGATGAATAGGATGACATCGGGATAATTACCACTGTATCGGAAGAACAGGTAAGTGATGAGTACACCCAAGTCAACGGTGCCCACAATGAAGGCCAGGTTAGCGATCGGCGAGAGACCAAGTATTTCGCAAAAACGGGACACAATGAACAGCACAACGCACGCCACCAGCAAAACCATCGGTGTCCCGAAGATACTGACCATCGCAACAAAATAAAAACAAATTAATTAATACAAAAACAACAATTAAAACCTCAAAACCCATTCAAACAACCCTTAAGACCACTCCTAACCCTATAGATAGCACTCATAAGATAGTCATACGATTCACATATCATACAACACTGGGGGCACCCAATAGGGCTGCTCCGGGAGGGGGCAGTAAACTACATACTTAAACATATTCTTGCTCTTATTCTGGGCCTCAAAATGTTCAAACGTCTGGTCCAACTCCATCACCAACTGTTCCCTATAGGACTCGGAGAACTCGCGCCCACCCATCTTCGGTATCTTATCGAACAGATCCATGGCCTCCGCGCGCAGCTCCTGGTGGCGGGTCTCCAGTGTCTTGGGGTTAATAAAGGGACGTTCGCCGCCGCAGATGTCCTCCATGGAGGCCACGTACGTGTCTTTGACTGTGGCCACTGCGGTCAGGTTGTTGGCCTCGGCCGTGGCCTCCAGCATCGACTTGGGTTCGGGCATTGTTTCGCCTGTTAAGTGGTGGTGTGGGAAGTGTTAAGTGATTAGTTCAGTACATATGGTAAGTATGGTATCGAGAGAGTGAGTGAGACATTACCTGCAAACACATTGATATACACTTTGAAGTACTCCATCAACTGTTTGCCAGTGACCTGACGGCCGCCGATCTCCTTCACGACCACATTCTTCGGGTCTAACATCAGCGGCACAAATGTCTTCAGATAGTCGACAAACTCGCCGTCAATATCGGCCACTCGGCCGTCAAAGCGGGGATTAGTGGACACTTTGTTGCCCGGATGTGGCATTAAATAGCAGCCAATATCGCTAAAACAGGAGCGAATGTGGCGCCGGACGCGTTGCAATTGTGTCGGCTGGTTATCCTTAATGGCCAACTTCTTCTCGAGTAGGCTCTGACCGCCGGTCAGACCGTACGGGTGTTCGTATGGGAAACTCCAGTCCCGTATAAGAAACAGTAGCTTCTGAAAGGGTTTCTCGTCGGTGGCCTCGAGCGCCAGTCGGCCGTATTCGGTGAATATCTCCAACACCTGAAGGTTGTCCTCCTGGAGATTGTGCATCAGATTGAACACTGAGTGAGAGAATAATACGGGAGAAAAATCATTTAATACTCAATTAAATTGTATGTAAAGCACACAAAGACACTGATTGTTTGGGTTACGGGAGAAAAACCATTTGATTAATACTAAACAATCAAATTGTTTAACAAATAAACCAAAAAAATCAGTGCTTGTGTTCACACAACATGTATATAAAGTGTGACCACATGGGGTGGCGGCCATAGAGTGACCAACAAACTAGTTGTCACAGTATTTTACTCTTAAAAAAGTATATACCCTGTATTGATGAGGTCATAGTTGACAGCGCAAACACAGTGGCCGAGTCCCGGACGGTGTACTCCGAGTCAAACGCCCCCTGAGTGTCCATTAAAACGATGGCCACCTCCTGGCCGTCGTCCAGTTTGATAAGAAACGGCTCCGACCACATCAGTATACCAGTGGTGTCCCTCTCACTGCCGCCCCTCCACGAGAACCCCTTGAGTGGGGTGTCTGTCGAGCCGAGCCAGTCGTCGGTTGTGCCGCAACCGGACTGCAGGTATCGCAGGAAAAAGTTCAGCATAAAGGACTTGCCTATGGGTGCCAACGTAGAGGGGGTGGGGGTTAAGGTGGGAGAGAAATAATAGGTTTATTAAATTTTTTAATTTATAGTATAATTAGTAACTTATTATAATTTTTATGTTAATAGTTTAGTGGTTAATTACATAATTAGTTTTGTTTATCATAGCGACAGATGTTTGTATGCAGTGATTGTATCATTGAGTGAATTGTGTTGTTTTTTCGGTTCATTATTCACACAATTATTGTTTTTATTATTTATTAGAAATAGTTTTGTGTTCATTATATAGAGGTTTTACTATCGCAACAACAAAAATGTCATAATTTGTGAATTTATTATTAATTATTTGTAATTATATTTGTTTTAATTGCTTTTATAAGTGGTTTAGCGATAAGTAAATATCTAAAACACTATTATCGGGGGTAAACTTCGCTGTTATCGAGGATTCACTATAACCACAGTTAGTGTACATAAAAACAATGAAGTGTTTATTGAAATTATATTTTTGTAGATTATTTTTCTCAACGTTTCGTTAGTTTATTAAAAATATTTTATAACTTTTAACTCAAATATTAGTCTAAATTAATTAAATTAGTCGTTAAATACCTGAACATTGTTACACAAAATCAATAAATTTATTATTACGGTACTAATTAAACCACAAAATAAATAATTACAAACTATTAACGATATAAAACATCTAATAATTACAAAATTAAATATTTAACAATTTAATTAAAACTACTCTTAAAATAAATGACAACTAAACTCATAGACTAAACATCTATTAGAATAAAATTTAATAAACTTATAATAATTATTATAATAAATCTAACTTATCCTAAACTTATCAAGGCAATTTAATCAANTGATAAACAAAACTAATTATGTAATTAACCACTAAACTATTAACATAAAAATTATAATAAGTTACTAATTATACTATAAATTAAAAAATTTAATAAACCTATTATTTCTCTCCGAGTCAAACGCCCCCTGAGTGTCCATTAAAACGATGGCCACCTCCTGGCCGTCGTCCAGTTTGATAAGAAACGGCTCCGACCACATCAGTATACCAGTGGTGTCCCTCTCACTGCCGCCCCTCCACGAGAACCCCTTGAGTGGGGTGTCTGTCGAGCCGAGCCAGTCGTCGGTTGTGCCGCAACCGGACTGCAGGTATCGCAGGAAAAAGTTCAGCATAAAGGACTTGCCTATGGGTGCCAACGTAGAGGGGGTGGGGGTTAAGGTGGGAGAGAAATAATAGGTTTATTAAATTTTTTAATTTATAGTATAATTAGTAACTTATTATAATTTTTATGTTAATAGTTTAGTGGTTAATTACATAATTAGTTTTGTTTATCATAGCGACAGATGTTTGTATGCAGTGATTGTATCATTGAGTGAATTGTGTTGTTTTTTCGGTTCATTATTCACACAATTATTGTTTTTATTATTTATTAGAAATAGTTTTGTGTTCATTATATAGAGGTTTTACTATCGCAACAACAAAAATGTCATAATTTGTGAATTTATTATTAATTATTTGTAATTATATTTGTTTTAATTGCTTTTATAAGTGGTTTAGCGATAAGTAAATATCTAAAACACTATTATCGGGGGTAAACTTCGCTGTTATCGAGGATTCACTATAACCACAGTTAGTGTACATAAAAACAATGAAGTGTTTATTGAAATTATATTTTTGTAGATTATTTTTCTCAACGTTTCGTTAGTTTATTAAAAATATTTTATAACTTTTAACTCAAATATTAGTCTAAATTAATTAAATTAGTCGTTAAATACCTGAACATTGTTACACAAAATCAATAAATTTATTATTACGGTACTAATTAAACCACAAAATAAATAATTACAAACTATTAACGATATAAAACATCTAATAATTACAAAATTAAATATTTAACAATTTAATTAAAACTACTCTTAAAATAAATGACAACTAAACTCATAGACTAAACATCTATTAGAATAAAATTTAATAAACTTATAATAATTATTATAATAAATCTAACTTATCCTAAACTTATCAAGGCAATTTAATCAATCAAACACTTCATTGTCTACCATATCATACAGTGAACAACACATGCGTATAGTGTATGAAAAAAATTGTAACTTATATTTAACTAATAATTTTGCCAAATAATCATTACATTTATAATTGCCATATAGTGTACAGATGTTTACTCTACGCATACATTGTATTATTAATATCTATTAACTATTAGTTAATAACTAATAATAAAATATAAAACTATTGATAAATACATTTAAAATGTATTTAAATATGAATTAAATGCAAAAAATATAATCCACTAAAGAAATATAAGTAAAAACAGATTAAAACTTTTAACTAAATATTATAATGAAAAATTTAATTTATTACTTTAAAATAATTCCGTAATCAGAGAATGAACAGAGTGTTTATCACAATTCTAGCTGAATTGTAATTAAAAACATTAAGGAAATGTGTGATGTTTGTTATATATTATAAAATTTACAGTGTGAAATGGTAAATCACTAATCATTATTTTAAATGATAGATGACAATCAAGTGTATAAACTCATGCCATAAACTTTCATAATAATCACTGGCTAGTGTTAGCGGGTCTCCGAATTTATTTATTATATTCGCGGTTTATTCTGGGATATTCTTTATATCCGAATTTATTATAAACTAATAGATTTAACATAACCCATAGACTTAGCATTACTCAAGTTAATCTTATGTCAAAGATTTGCCATAACCTATGTTAAAGTATAGCCATCGACTCAAGCTGTAATCACATGTTAATTTTCTATAGATTTAAGAATCCCATGTCAAAGTATAGCACTAGATTTAAGCTCGAATAAGTTGTTATATAACTATGAACTGTGTAATAATTTTCTAATGCTTTATTTAATCAAATATTTCATATCAATATTCAGTAATAGAAGACAATGGTAATTTAAATTATTTTCAAAATGCCCATGATGGAAATTAATTAAAATTTTAGCCCAGACTTCTTTTCAATCCATGGTATGTAAGCGGAAACGCGAGTAAAAACGTTTGGGTTTAATGCACAAGCTTCATCAGTGCGATATGACGATAGACCATGCAACACCCAGGTACCGTTAGCCAGTTGGCAGTTCAGAGGTCCGTCAATTTTATCGCCACAAATGCCTTTAAAATCATTTGTCTTTCTGGCGCACAATTGCTTATTGGGTTGAAAATCTATACCACGTATGATAAAAACATTACGATTAATTACAGAATAAATATATTATTAATAAAAACGATAATTTTATACACAATTTTAAAAATAATAAATTAAATATATATACTCAGAGATGATATAGGTTATTAATTTTACAAACCTTTAAATTCATGTTTACAGTCAGAATCTTTTGCAATTGATAATTGAATCTGTTTCAATTTATCTGATCCAATCCAATTATTACCTTTGGTACACCCCCAACCTCCAACCGTGCATATATTGTTTTTATCAGCAAAGTGTACTAGGCGTATTTGCTCGTGATTCTGCCATATGTCTAGTTTCAAGAGGGCGATGTTATTGAGAAGATTCTTTTCGTTGTATCCCTCGTGAATATACACGGAATCCTATATTATTATTTTAATTGATGATTACTAGCAATTAGGCGTTTTATATTATAACAATAAATGAATAAATTATATATTTATAATTATCGATCCATTACTAACCTTTTGAATTTGAACTGTAACTTTTGTCCCACTATTGACATTACTAAACCTAGCTTCAATAAAATAGGATTTTTTCACATATATTTTGAGACACCGGGCCGATGTTAGTATCCACTGATCGCTAATCAGTGAACCCCCGCATGTGTTGCAATCGGCATAGGAATTATGCGAGTTTGGACACACATATAAACGAGCCAACCAGGGCCAGGCAGTCTCTGCAGAATCCTCTCCTACTAATTTATTGATGGTAATTGCTTTGCCAACTTGTTCCGATCCACCCAACACTTGACCCGACCAATACAGTAGCATAACTGTTGCTAATATGGAAAATGATTTATTTAAAAACATTATTGTTATTAGTTTAATATTTGTTAATATACTACTTAACAACATGTACTGATTCAATTACATTTGCGATCACGCTTTATATACTTTCAAAATTCATTATTATTTGACAAAGATAAATTAAAAATCGGTTGCATTTGTTTTATAAGCATATATCAAATATGATTAATGTTAGTTATTTCCCATTTTTAAAAAGTATATTCCAGGAAAATAGTTTTGCGCCGGAAAATTCTTTATATTCCTTAAAATTGGGAAAATAAGACAAAAATGTGGTCAAACAGTGACTAATCGATG